CACCAGAGAGTGGAAAGGATAAGGAAGAGAGGGAAGATCACACACCTTTTATAGTCCGTCGTAGACAACATTAAGAGGGAACATGGGGAATCGACCATCAAGGGGAGCGCTTCCCAGTGATAAAAGTTTTCTGCCCTCACATACCTCCCAGCTACTCACACGCAAGCTAGGACGTGTTGGCACCTGGCGGCCATTCGATGGGTCGCCACGAGAATTTGATGGAGCAGTCACGCCATAATGGTTAGGTGGTTGCATCGTCGGTGGTGTGTGGAGGCCCCACTACTTCAAATCACACTTGTAGGACGAGTAGGAAGAACCTGAAACTTTGATCATGTGCTGACAATTTGGTTTGAAGGCTCCTAATATGAAGTCTAGGAGACCAGACAAGTAGGGAGCTCCAAAAAATATGGCAAATGAGGGGGTGAATTAATGACGCCTCTAGCAGAGTGGTTTTTAAAATCCGTAGCGCTATATTGAAAGTCATTATGTAGTTTGAGACCTTTTGGCTACTCTGTTGGAGTTGCTGCTCTTAAGAATCACATGCTACAACTCCTTCATATTCGCAAATACGTAGCCTTGATAAGGGAGACATTACAATGGCCACTTGTTCTGAATGACATTCAAACCGCTCGACAGCCACTGTAATCATTAGAAAAAGCTTTGCCACATCAACATCATTGTACGAGAACATATCTTGTGCATTTCTCTTGTCATAACAAATAAGTTTATAGGAGAGCTATATTAATAACATATATAAAACTGAATTACATAGATTTGATCTATATTAAATTAATCAAAAAATAAATTTTGAACTACATATATTTGGTGTCATGAACAGAACTATAGCCGAAACGCCATGGATGGTAAGTTTTTTCGACAAGGTTGGTGGGAAACGCATAGGCCGCAACACGAGTGTATATAAGGTTAAAAGATCTGATCCACCACTCGAGGTACATAAAGGATGGAATCAGAGCGTGAACATCAGCAAAAAAAAACTCGCTGTCCGTGGTGTGTCTGAGACTTTGGACTATGTAGTACTGTTCCCTCCGTCTCATGTTAGCTTGAAAAACGTTTTTTCTTATATGATGGGACGGAGGACTAGTATTGGCAGCCAATTTCCCCCCTTTCTTTTGCTGTCTCAGGTGTTGTTGATTTAGATGTAGTACCGAATTAGTAGGATTTTTCTGAATTTCATTGCACGGCGACGGCATAGAAGAGGCCTTTTTGGGGTGACGTCCTGCTGAGGCCACCCCTGGCCAAGTCGGACCCGAGTCGGTGAGGCAGGCAGTAGCTAGATATTTTATCTCCTGCTCTCCGGGCCGGCGGTGCGTGTTCCTAGTCTTAGTCTTAGGGGCGGGCGAAGGACTGAAGCTGAGCCACGCGGTGGCTGGCTCAGATCCATGCGCTACCTGACCAAGAGCGCGATAGTCGTCGACTCACTGACGCCACGGAATCTTCCTAGTCTTAGTCTTAGGGGTGGGGCAGGAGCATGCACCCCGAGCAGCAACCATAATCATATATAGGATTTCTGCCTGTGCTCTACTGTCTTGGCCTCAGGGGCCATGCCTGATTGTGATTGCTACAGATTATGTTTGAGCATACTATCGGTTTCTTTTCTTAAGTGAATCATGTGGCTCGCTCAACCATGTGGGCGGTGCTGTCTGAATCCATTCTCATCTTCTTCTCAACCATATTGCTCTTGGCCATAAGAAGATGAAGAAGATGTACTAGTTAGTTATGGATATGGATTTGGATTTGGCGTGTGTTTAATATCTTGACCGCATAAGCTGCTGCCCGCCCTGTTGCATCTCTACTCTGAATATTGCATCTACTCCAGTTTGACATTCCTGACCTTGCATTCAGTTGCCCACAGGCCACTTTGTGGATAAGTTTTCTCAAACCTCTATTCTCTGCAAACAATTAGTCAGAGTGAAGCTTGGTCTTGCGTCTAGTGCGTATGCATCATCATTTATTTGGTCTCTCTAGACAGGCTGTTAACCTTCTACTAGTAAGATATGCATAAATAAATTGTCTAACTAACTTTGTGTTTGGTGGATATCTTTTTCAGGTACGAGATGGCTCTCACCAGAATTGTCTTGCTGGCCTCGCCGTCATGGGCCAGAACCTCGCCCTCAACATTGCGGAGAAAGGGTTCCCCATCTCTGTCTACAACAGGACCACCTCCAAGGTCGATGAGACTGTTCAGCGCGCCAAGCTAGAAGGAAACCTTCCTCTCTACGGTTTCCATGACCCTGCATCCTTCGTCAACTCCATTCAGAAGCCACGTGTCGTCATCATGCTTGTCAAGGCCGGTGCTCCTGTTGACCAGACCATCGCAACGCTCGCAGCACACCTGGAGTAGGGCGACTGCATCGTTGATGGAGGAAACGAGTGGTACGAGAACACGGATGGCCGTATGCATCGTTTTGATGCAGAGGCCGGGGAGCCCCCCCTTTTCGAAAAAAGAAAAAAACGAGAACACGGAAAGGAGGGAGAAGGCGATGGAGGAGCGTGGACTCCTCTACCTCGGGATGGGTGTTTCCGGAGGAGAGGAGGGTGCCCGCCATGGCCCCTCCATGATGCCTGGAGGCTCATTGGAGGCATACCAGTACATTGAAGACATTCTTCTCAAGGTGTCTGCTCAGGTCCCTGACAGCGGCCCGTGCGTCACATACATTGGGAAGGCTGGATCCGGAAACTTTGTCAAGATGGTTCACAATGGCATTGAGTACGGTGACATGCAACTCATTGCTGAGGCGTACGACGTTCTCAAGTCGGTTGGGAAGCTCACAAACGGTGAGCTGCAGCAGGTTTTCGCCGAGTGGAACAAGGGTGAACTCCTCAGTTTCTTGGTTGAGATCACTGCTGATATCTTCAGCATCAAGGATGACCAGGGTGAGGGCTACTTGGTCGACAAGGTCCTGGACAAGACCGGGATGAAGGGAACCGGGAAGTGGACAGTGCAGCAAGCTGCTGAGCTCTGTGTGGCTGCTCCTACCATTGAGGCGTCCTTGGATTCCAGGTTCCTCAGCGGGCTCAAGGATGAGCGTGTCGCGGCTTCCAAGATCTTCCAGGGTGACTACTCCAGTGGTGAAACTGTCGACAAGGCACAGCTGATCGAGGATGTGAGGAAGGCCCTCTACGCCTCCAAGATCTGCAGCTACGCCCAAGGCATGAACATCATCAAGGCCAAGAGCACGGAGAAGGGATGGGGCCTCAACCTCGGCGAGCTGGCCAGGATCTGGAAGGGCGGGTGCATCATCCGCGCCAGCTTCCTGGACCGCATCAAGAAGGCGTATGACAGGAACGGTGAGCTCGCCAACCTCCTCATCGACCCCGAGTTCGCGCAGGAGATCATGGACAGGCAAGCTGCATGGAGGAGGGTTGTCTGCCTCGCCATCAACAACGGCGTCAGCACCCCTGGCATGTCCGCGAGTCTGGCCTACTTCGACTCCTACCGGAGGGACAGGCTCCCTGCCAACCTCGTCCAGGCCCAGAGGGACTACTTCGGGGCGCACACCTACGAGAGGGTTGACATGCCGGGCTCCTTCCACACCGAGTGGTACAAGATTGCCAACTCAAAGATCTAAGATGCTGCTGCTGCTCTACCAAGAGACGGTCCATCAGGTTTCGTCTTCTCGGTATCCTTTGTTGCTGCCAGTCATGAGTCCTTTTCCTGTAGGGGAGGAACCGCCGTTTAATTTTTATTATTTGAGTAACGAGTCCTGTATTTATTTTCTACAAGGAGATCACATATTCTCTCCAGTCTCCACTACTTCCATGTGATTGATCAACCCTGGAGGGAAGACATTGCCATTCTGAATTAGTTTGAATAAAATGTGTTTTTACCTACCTGTGTTTGATAGCCAGTGTTCCTGCTTTCTCAAGGCTGCTTTACTTGTTGCTTGTTTGTTGTGTCATATGATTCTCACAAAATTTTGTTGCTATCTCGTGTCTATGGTAGCATGTGACAGTCCTTTCCTTTTTGTTTGGAAGATAGGCCATGTTTGCCTACCCTGTTTATGGTTTTTTTGGGTACTGGATCAGGTATGGTACAGTTCTTGTGTTACATAGTTGAGTTGTGACATACTGTCAAAAGAAAGTTCCAACTGTGAACATAAGTAATCATGAAAGGTGTGGTACTACTGGCCTCTATGTAGTTCAAAGATGAGTCAGTTTTGTCGGAAGTTTGTAAGAAATCGGCTCATTTCGATAAAATATTACATTGAGTTTCATCTGAGATCGACCCATTTATATCCTGAGGGCTCTGTTTGTTTGGGCTTTTGCTTCCGCTTTTACAGCTTTGTCACTTTGACCAAAAAGCTATAAAAGCTCCTAAATAGGTGCTTCAAAAGCCATAAAAGCTCCAAAAGCACTCATTTAGGAGCTTTTATAACTTTTTGGCCAAAATAAAAAAGCTGTAAAAGCAAAAGTAAAAGCTCAAACAAACAGGGCCTGAACCAATTAACATCCCTCATCCATTTATATTCTGAACCAACTTCCATCCCGCATCCTGTAGATGCTGGACTCAACTGTCTGTACTTGATTGCCAATCATCAGCGCTTAGTCTGACCAGGGAGTCTCCTGGTGCGTGTCGTGCAAAGACAGCTCTTCTTTGCAGTGCGTAAACCGAGTTTGCTACTCTGCTTCCGGTATTGTTTCCTACTACTCCCTCCGTCCGGGAAAAGTTGTCCGCG